CCCCAAAACCCCAAAACCCCAAAACCCCAATATGTTGAACTCTAGTTGAATTAAATAGGCTGCAAAACATTTTTTTCAGAAAATGGCTGCCTGACCATATGTTAAATAAAAAGCAACTGTAAGAGAGATCTGAATAGAGTGCTTGGCCGATAAAGGTTCCGATTGGATCCAATATGAACAGCATTTGATTATGACCCTATATTAAATAGACTGCAATGACACTATGCAAGACTTTTCTTCTTTGTTTTGATTTTTAAACCTTATTGCCATTATTTTATAGATATTCTCAGTTTAAGAAACTGTTCATTAAGCTCAGTAAGAAGAAGTTAGCTCATGTAAAGCCTATTCCTATGAAAAGGAATATCAGAAGCATCTTATTGAAAGGAGCTTTAAAGAATAAAAAGGAGACAATGAATTTAAAAGACTCTGTGAGATCACTAAAAGTTTCGTAAAGATCAGATAAAGCTATCGAACAAGTTTTAAAGGATTATACTAGACTGAAGCCTAAACACTTGAGCTAGTTTTATTAGGCATGTAATAACTCCCATTACTCTATACAGCGACTGACCAAGATGTCTTTGGAATCGTTCTGATAATCTCCTAGAGAAGGTTCCAATGTCCTCGAATGGAAGTTATGTGTTCTTGAATATGAAACCTCAAGGATATGGAAAGCTTACAACAGGAATTTGAATAAGGTAAAAAAAAATAACTTTAAATTCATTCGAAATAAGAAAATAAGAATTGCAGAGTTGATATAAACATATCTAAATTTGAAAAAGTCCTGTGAAAAGCAATAGATCTTTCTTTGACCTTTCTAGAGTGTGACTCATTTGCTAGTCTCTGAGAGAAAGCTATCCTAAACATAAATGATGAAATCAGGAAAATTGGCAAGGAAGGCAGGGAGATGACTTTTCAACCTTCATATCTGGGTTGCTGAAAATTCTCCCAAGAGCTTGAAAACTGAGTTAGAATAAGCGACAAGGAATACTCCCATAATTTCAATCTAAGGAAGATTTTGAGAAGAGTTTCTGTTCTATTTCGAATATTTATGAAGCTTCTCTTAGAGCAATTGTTATTACATCTTGATTTTCAAAAGGATAGTATAATTTGCAGTTTCTTAATGTTTTTTTCATAAAGTTTAACAATTTCTAGAAACGAGGAACTAAACTCGAACAAAATAGCCTACTTTTAACTATAAAAAAAAACATAAATACATCCTCGCATGGAATACAAACCCCCAAATAACATCTAAGCAATAAAATCTTAAAAACCCAAATTTATAGCATTCGACATGATGAGGGAAAATGCACTTAAAACCGCAACATCTGGAAAACACTTCCGTCTAAGCTTAAAATAAACAGGGAATCTCCCTCCATAGTAGCACTTCCTTCATATAGAAGCTTACCCTATGGGTTACCTAACACACTATGAGTGGGAAGCCCAAAATAAGATGCTCATAGTGGAGGCTAATTTTAAGTATTCAAACGTTCAAACAACTCAGAAGTAAGCATTCCTTGTTCCAAAAACTCAGAGTTGAGAAATTGACAAAGCGCATCAATGAATCTGCTGGAACTAACAAGCACAGCCTTGATTGTAATAATTACCACCTTTTAAAGGTTCCTTCTTTAGAGTCTGATCTACTGGATATTCTGAAGAAACCAAGCAGCTAGGCAAAGAGTTTTATATGCAAAGCAAGATTCTGTTAGGAAAAGGAGGATCAAGATGTCCACATTCTATAAGAGGTGATGGAGACTATAAAGAAAATAAACCTATAAGTGCAAGAAATTTACTTTTATCAAGCATATAGCTATTTGCAGTGCATCTATATTATTGAAGGTAAAGGACAATCCGAGAAAGAGAAGAAGTTAGAGTCGTTTCAAAGCTAATTTGATAGGGGTTGGTCAAAGAAGAGTTATCGATCAAGATGATAAAGAGAAAGACAACGGCTAAAAGAAATATGGATTCCAGAAAATTTCCATGGCTGTTAATGTAAAGTACAAAAATGATTCGAGAGCAACTTGGAATGAAGGTATGAAAAGTAGACAAACTCAAGCATTTAATATCGTCTCATAATCTAAGATGTAATTTTTAAGATAACATATTGGTTTCTTTAATATCCTGCGATGGTGGAAACAGATAAAGAAGTCTCTGTTCGGGATTAGTGAAAATAAAATAGGAGAGCCTGAAGCTCCATCCTATGGTACATAGTTTGCTAAATTTAGAATGTAAATAGAAATATTCTACTATTCTTTAAAGCTAATTTAGCCTGCTCTCTATATTCGAACTAAAGTTTCAACTAAAAACCTAGATCTACTTAAACCTTCAAATCCTTCAAAATAGTTTTTGTTTCTTTTAGACAATGCTACATGCCTCTACAGATGTAAACTCTTCTTTAGAGATTCGGCCTCACCTTTCCAAAGTAAATTTAGTTTCATTACAGGAGTAATCAGCTTTGATTCCCATACTCCACCACAAATAAAATTGATAAGAAAAGTAAATTAAGTTCGATCCTCCACGAAAACTACAAAAATCACTATCACCAACCAGATACCATATTTCCCAAGATCAGACCAAGAAGAAGACCAGCAGGGAGGACGAAGATAAAAATCTTTGAGACATGATCTAAACCTCTTTTTGAACCAAATAGAATTAGTATTAACTTCTTTTTAATGTCTATCAAAAGGATATGTCCTTTAACCAAATGACTACCAACCTGGCTCATAAAAACTTAAGAGCTTGCATCCTATTTTTTATAGAGCACATTTTTCTATAACCTATTTGTAAGATATTTTCATGCAATCTTAAAGTAATGCTGGACAAAAACAGAAAGTCATTTTAAGCTTTACACAAGGCTGCCATTATAAGAATGTTATGTCTGAAGATAATTCATGAACTATTTATCTATTCCCCATCTGTCAAAGTAAGTGTTCCTCAAGTTGGTTTCATATTAAATTTTATAGAAATAAAATTCTTACTCAATTTTGCTTACAGATGAAGGGGTTTTGGGGTTTTGGGGTTTTGGGGTTTTGGGG